ATAAAGAATAATCATTTCTTTAATTTTTTTTCACTCATATCAATATTTAAATTTAAGATTTTTATTTTATAATTTTAAACTTTGAGTCACTTAAAATATTAAAATATAATCAATTTAAAATTTAAAAATTTTAATTAATTTAGACAAAGACAGATATTATATGTGCCACTTCACGCACAAGAAGATACAAACCTAGTATTAGTTTACTCTACCCAAGAACAAAAGTATAAGTCCTCTTAAAAGTAATTCTGTGTATTCTCTAACGCAAAAGAATAATCCAGCTCACACAATCTATTTGAATCCTCTCACGCATGCCAGGTGCCAACCACATTGTGGGTGCAGTGCAGGTGATAACTGTTAAGGCTTCAAGTGGTGCGACACCCAGCTGTAATTTAGGGTCGACCCCTAAGCTTAATTTTTAGCTGCTTCTCAAAAGTTCAGATTGAGTGCCGCACCACTTGAAGCTTTACCACAAATACCAAACCATATAATGTGGTTGGCATGAGAGGGTTGTACGTACCTATGGGAGCTTTGAGCAGTCCACAGACTGATTATTCTTTTGCACACTATATGTATAGTATGGAATAGAGAAATATTAACAATAATGTACTCTTTGGGCAAAGTAAACTAATAATAGATTTTTACCTTGATGTGTATGGAGAATGAAGTGGCATAGCACACATAGCTGATATCCACTACGGTATTAGTTAATTTATTGTTAAAAAAAAATAATTGTTAGAGGTGGGATATGAACTGACATCCGTACACCGATTGGTGAATCTCATAAAAGAGCTTAGATCAGGGGAGGTGTTCTACTTCTACATACTCATGTATTCGAATCTTAGTAATTAACTCTTCTTTCATGGAATCGAGTTCGATTGTATAAATTAATCAGGTGAGCTCCAGCTCTACAACTCAGAATTGTTTGCAAACGAAAGAAAAAAAAGCTGTGCCAAATAGCATCACAGAATATGCTAGCTAATTAATGACTGCAATTTTTTTTTCTTCCATATTAGAAGGGTAGTTGCTCAACATTATAGAGATATGAAAATTTAATTTTAACTTTAAATTAAAAATTTTAAATTAATGAATATCAAATAAATCAAACTCTTGTTAATAATTGTAATTTTTTAAATAAAATTACATTATTTAAGAAATAGTTGTAGATCGATGATATTTATTTATACTATAAAAGGGAGTGATAATTTAATGTTTTCATTCATAATTACCAAAAAAAAAAACTATTATCACTGTATGGACAATACTACTCATTGAGTCGAGAAAGTCTCCATACTCATTTAATAATTTTTATTTTTTAATTCTATATAATTTAACTTATAAAAAAAAGTGATAATTTAAAAGAAAATCTTAATAAAACCTTGACCATTTCTCACCAACCCTTACCCCACATGTATGACATTGGACTCCAAACACGACCTTTTCCCATTACTTGTTTTACTTCCGAACAAAGCGAAATTACCAGCGGACCTTACTTTTCTTTTTCAAATGTCGAATGAACCAGGTTAAATATATAGTGGAGAAATAATAAATTATAGAAAATTCGAGTGGAGATTGGATTGGAATAGACGGTCACTAGTCCATGACAAAATCGCGTCGGGACAGGGGTCGGAACTTGGAAGTGGGTGGAAATAATAAATAGAGACACCTGAAATTTATGCACTTCAACTGCATTTGGGAATATTTTATGGCTTAAGATCTTTGTGATCTAATTAAAAATAAAATTTATTTATCATTTAAAGCACCGAAGATACTCCAACGCTGCTGTCTACTTACAGTCCCAATCACTCTACTAAAACTAACAAATTAAAACATAAAATACTATGGAAAAATGCACAACGTAAACAAATCTAAGAGGCTACTCCATTGGAATAGTAGAGCAACACCGAAGGAATCAAGCACATGTGCATGCACTGCCCACAGAGAATACCTCAATAACAAAGAAGGAATCTAAAACTTCGTTTTGTTATGATTTCTAGGTTTTTTTTTTTTTTTCATAGTTTTTATAAATTTTTAATTTTAAATAAAAAATTTATTTATTTTTAAATATTTTTGTAACATATTATTATTATAATTAAGAATTTTCTAACCTATGTCCACTACTAGAAAACCCAACTTCACCAACTCACAATCACCGACGTAAGAATTTTTGTCGATAAACCAGCATCTTACCGACAAGAAACATGTCTGCAAAGATAGAAACAATTAAAATAGGAGTAATTTATATTATTTAAGGTTTAGACAAAATATTTTTTGGTAAATTTATATCATACACACGTGTTTCTTGTTGGTAATATTCTACAACATTCAATTCGATGGCTCGAGGACCAATACCCCAATTACTGAGGAAGAGGATGCTTGTAATCTGCATTATCTACAATAGGAGTTTTCTTGGTGAGTTTACC